AATCTGCCGGGCATTATGGCAACACGCCTTTGATCCTAGCACTTGGGAGGCAGAGGCAGGTGGATCTTTTTGAGTTGGAGGCCAGCCTGGTCTATGTAGGGAGTTCCAGGACAGCTGGGGCTACAGGGAGACCCTGTCTCAAAAATACAAAAATAATAATAATAATTTAAAAACCTAAAAATAAGTTTTCCAGAATGAAGCTAACAAAGAGCAAAATCAACAACAAAAATCATCAAGTAGGGGCTTCAGAGATGGCTCAGCAGTTAAGAGCACTGATTGCTCTTGCAGAGGACCCAAGTTCAATTCCCAGCACCCACAAGGCAGCTAACAACCATCTGTAACTCCAGTTCCAGGGGATCCAATGCCCTCTTCTGACCTCTATGAGCATTGCATGGCATGGGTGCACTTTTACACATGCAGGCAATGCACTCACACATAAAATAATAAATTTTTTTTAAATCACTAAGTAAGTAAACACCAAACTAGAAATTCAGTATCTCCTGGATGTTGGGAGTAAAGCATTTTTTTTTGGGGGGGGGTCTTTTTGAGACAGGAACTCCCTGTGGCCCCAGCTAGGGAAAGCACTTTTACAGAGGTGTTTTCAGTGTACTGTAACAAAAAACCTGCTTCAGGGTGAGGCAAAGTCAGCACTCTGAACTTTGTTCTAGGGTAATGATGCTCCATCCCAGAAAAACACATTATGGTGAAGAAAAAACAGGTCCTTAATAGCCAGTCCAAAAGACCTAAATCTTCTTTTGTCATATGTTTTTATTTATTGATTTTTTAATCAATTTTTTTGGCAAAGAATCAGGGATAATTTGGGTTATAAATCACTTAAATCAATCTCCAGACTATATAGAAGGACTCAGAATCAGGGGCCATCCAATGACCAACTTTTGGTTAACTAACCAAAATGCCTGAGAAGCAACAGTGAGTAATATCAAATCAAATACCATTTCTGAAAGGAAATTACCTAATCTTTGGCTTTTACAATGTCTTATAAACTGTCATGTCCACATAAAGAAAAAAATTAGGAATTCCTAAATTTCTTTTTAATTACGTGTGTGTGTGTGTGTGTGTGTGAAAACACGCTTGTACCATGATATGCATGTGGAGGTCAGAGGATAACTTAAGCCAGTCAGTTCTCTCCTACCACATGGGTCCCCTGGATCAAAGTTAGGTAGGTCATTAGGCTTGGCCACAGATGCTTTTACCTACTGAACCATCTTGCTGACACACTTTTCTTTATTTGAGACAGGGTCTTGCTATGTATATAGCCCTGGCTGACCTGGAACTCACTATGTAGACCAGGCTGGCCTCAACCTTCCAGCAATTCTCCTATCTGCCTCCCAAGTGCTGGGATTATAGGTGTCTGCCACTACACCGACTGAAGTGCTAAATTTTAAATATTTTCTCAAGTTTCTCTCTTCTACCATACATACCACCTAGAAAAGCAAAAATAGGCCAGATATAATGGCATGCACCTGTAATCCTAGCACCCAGGAGGCAAAGGTACAGGGATTATGAGCTTGAGGCCAGCCTAGGCTACCTAGCAAGAATTTGTCTCAAAAATCCTTAAAAAGGGAGAAGGCTGGATATGGTGGTACACTCCCATAATCCAAGATTGGAGCAATGGTAAGAAAATCATGAGTTCTAGGCAAGCCTGGACTACATATCAAGACTATTTCAACCAAACAGAAGGCAAAAATGCTTACTAGCCAGGCGTGGTGGCGCATGCCTTTAATCCCAGCACTCGGGAGGCAGAGGCAGGCAGATCTCTGTGAGTTCAAGGCCAGCCTGGTCTACATAGTGAGTTCCAGGACAGCTGGGGCTACAGGGAGACCCTGTCTAAAAAAAACCGAAAAAAAAAAAAAAAAAAAAAGCTTTGCTATTTTAATCATTTTCTGGGAGAGGACCTCACATTATCATCAGTGTGGCCAGGGGAAAAGCTGAGGCAAAGGAATATTAAGTGGTTACATAAGACTGTTCTTTCCCTTCTCTGCATTCCTAGACTATTTATAATCTTCATAATCTACGTGTCACAATTAAAGAATTTGATTATATGCTGTATGGTCATATTATTCACCATGTTTTTTATTACTCTCCTTTTGTTTTATATAGTACCAGTCATATATACTGAAGATGACTATAAGAAATAAAATACTATCTAGTACAGGAATGTGACAAAACTATACTAACATCCTTTATTTAATCTTCACAACAGCCTATCAGGTATATAGATATTAATAGTTCAACTTTACAGAAGAATAACTGAGACTTAAGAGACATTAACTTGCCTAACTGGCATGTGGCAGAGCTCGAATTGTTTAGCTATTTTACTGTCACTTAATTATGTATTTTATACTATTCCAAAAGCTCCCATCGTAGTGGCAGTCATAAGGCACTTGATATATACTGCCTGGTGATTACCACATCTCTCACAGAAACTGTAAGACCCTAACCTCTATACACACCTCTCATGAAAACTACACTCAAGGCCACTCTGCAACTTCCAACAAGTCATGCAACATTCCTTCGGCTGAACTGCAAAGGAATGACAACTACCAAGCCTCCACTCAGCTCACAGCAGAAAGAACTTGGCAGGCAGGTGGGGTTTTCAGTATCCACATTCTGAGTTTACTGAAACCTAGCCTGCCCTATGACACACACCCAAGTACAGACAGCAAAAGGAAGACAGAAAGTAGCAGAAAAAGGGATCTTGGACTCTGAATGGGGGCATTATGTAGGGTAAAGCAGTAAGCACTCACACTTGTTAGGTATATCAGAAACTAGAAGTGAAAGCCAAAAAGAAAAAAGGCAAGAAAGGCAGTAAAATTGTCGCTGCACACACTCATTACAAAACCATTCCACTTAAACTGAAATGTTTAGGTCTAAGTCTAGCACCAAGCAGAATAAGTCTTCTTCACTGTCACCTACTGAAGACATATGAGAACATAAATTGTATTTCTAGCTGTGTGGCTCTCATAACCTGTTTTTAAAAGAGAAAGGGAGGGCTGAGAGGTGGCTCAGCGGTTAACAGCACTGACTGCTCTTGCAGAGGACCAGGGTTCAATTCCCAGCACCCACATGGTGGCTACAAACCATCCTTAACTCCAATTCCAGGGGAATCTGAAGCACTCTTCTGACCTCCTCCTCGGCACTGCACGACACGGGTGCACTCACATACATACAGGCAAAACACTCATACACATAAAATAAAAATAATAAAATATTAAAAGGGAGCTTTTTTAAAAAAATGATTTATTATTTTCTGTATATGAGTGTATTGCCTGCATATACATATGTAAGTGTACCCATTTTGTGCAATGCCTGTGGAGATCAGAAAGGGTATCAGACTCCCCTGGAACTGGAGTTAAGGATAGTTGTTAGCTGCCATGTAGGTGCTGGGAATTAAACCTGGGTCCTCTGCAAGAGCAGGCTAGTAAGCAGTATTCCTCCATGGTCTATGCTTCAGCTCCTGCCTCTATGCTCCAGCCCTGAGTTCTTGCTTTGGCTTCTCTTGATGATGGACTGTGTGGAAGCCAAATAAACCCTTTCCTCCCCAGGTTAGTTTGCTCATTGGTTTTATCACAGCAATAGAAAGTAACTAAGACATTAGGATAGGCAAGATCTTGTCTCCAAAAAATAAGGGGAGCTGGGTGTGGTTGCACACATCTTTTCAATCCCAACACTTAGGGGGCAGAGGTAGGCAGATCTCTGTAAGATCAAGGCCAGCCTGGTCTACACAGTGAGTTCCAGGCCAACTGGGGCTACAGAGAGACCGTGTCAGAAAGAAAAAAAGAAGGGGGCTGGAGAGATGACTCAGCAGTTGAGAACACTGGTTGTTCTTGCAGAAGACTAGGGTTTGAATCCCAGCACCCACATGGTAGCTAACAACTGTCTGTAACTCCAGTTCCAGGGATCCAACAGTCTCTTCTGTCCTCCACGGGCAACGCATGACATGGGTGCACTTACCTACATGCAGGCAACACATGCATGCCCGTAAAATAAAAATTATATACATATAAAAAATATATATATATATATATATATATATATTTTTTTTTTTTTTGTTTTTTTGAAGCAGGGTCTCCCTATAGCCCCAGCAATCCTGGAACTCACTATATAGACCAGGCTAGCCTTGAACTCACAGAGATCCGCCTGCCTCTGCCTCCCAAGTGCTGGGACTACAGGCCTGAGCCACCACACCTGGCTCAGTAATAAAATATTTTTAAAAACAAGAAAAAAAGAAAAGAGAGAAAAGGAAAAAGAAAAGGAAGGAAATTGCTATGTAAGAAATAACATGTTTAAGCTGGGCATGGTGGGGCATACTTTATTTATTTATTTATTTATTTTTGGTCCTTTTGAGACAGGGTCTCCCTGTAGCCCCAGCTGTCCTGGAACTCACTATGTAGACCAGGCTGGCCTTGAACTCACAGAGCTCCACCTGCGTCTGCCTCCAGAGTGCTGGGATTAAAGGCGTGCACCACCATGCCCGGCTTAAATCCCAACTTTTGGGGAAGCTAAAACAGAGGATAGCTAGCCTAGGTAACAGATCATGACCCCATCTTAAAGGTGGAGGAAAGAAGGGAGAATCAAAGTATAGTGTAATATCTGAGCTGGGGATGTAGCTCAGTAATAGAACACATATCTAGCATATCCAAGGTCCAGGCTTGAATCCCCAGCATAGAAAAAAAATAATATAAATGTAGTTTAACATCAAGTTAGCAGAGGAAGCAAATGACACAGTGACAGAGTACAAAGAGGACTACTACAACTAAAACTAAAGGTAGAAAACAGGTTTACTGCTGGGTCTAACCCAGGCAAAT